AAAAAAACTGGAAATAGGGGACAGCAGTAAGCCTAGCTCTAAGGAATCAAAATCCACCTACAGCACCTATAAAGGCTCACTACACGTTATGGTTTTACAGGGGATATGTGGAACTATTCCTTTAATGTACGGCATAAAATACACAAAACGAATGTCAACAGCATCTCCTGATCAGATATTTGTGTCTGTGTCCTTTGCCAGCGACTCCTATGGTTCCTACCTGTGAGATCCTGCGAACAACAGCTCCGTCTGCCTGGACCTCCAACAGCCTGACAAGCATGTCTTCATCAGCCTTCTCCAACTGTCTGGAGCTGATCGGTTACGACCCGTTCCTCGCATCCTACATACGCAGCCAGCTGCTCAAGAAAGTCAAACAGGTGAGATTCATTTGTAGTCTACTTCAGTCCATTAAACAACCTTTCAGATCTGTTTAATTCAAGGCTGCAGGCTAGTTTCCCCTCCTCGGGTCAGGTCTTAATACTATGCATCTACTCTGTCTTTCTTTCCTGGGTCCCTCCGGAATAACGTGTGTGTATGAAGATATACGGCCCTGTCTCGTCCTTCTCCCAGTCTGTGATCTCTCAGCTGGGTAGAATAGCAATAGAGCTGTCAGTAGAGGAGCTGAGCAGCCTCCAGCTGACTGAGCAAAAGAGCATCGCTGCTATGGGGACTGTCAGTGCCTGGAGCAGCAGACAGGTAACTACTGTACATACTAACATATAAAATACACTGACCACAGAGAATATTTGAACCTGATTAAAAAGCAGAATCATTTCTAATAGTCAAACAATACAGCTGGACACCTTTGATGCAGGTGTTTGTTTGTAATGCACCAGTATTAGACTCTTAGATTATAGCTGCCATGTGAAAACAACACACAATTTGATAGAAATTGATTATGCTTGATGAATGATGCTTTTAATTTGATTGAAAGTGAGAGGCCTCCTATTTCTATTCTACCAAAAAGAGTAGACTGAAATTTAGACAGTATAGCCAATATTTCCCAGCTCAGTATAACCCAGTGGTCCTAAAACTGCGGGGCAGGGCCCCCTGGTGGGGCAAAGAGCCATTGCAGGTTGGACATGAAAGACCCCGGGGGGGGGGATAATATGTAGTCAAACAAAGATAAATAATTAGTGATTAATGTAGAGAAACAAGAGTTTGCTGATGCTACAGTGCTGCTCTATACTTTGCAAAAAAGTACTTCCCTTTTTATCAGTTGCTTCCCCAACATTGTTAATGCTTGATAATAATTGTGAGGTGTATATATGTTCATAACGGACCATAACTCTTGTTTTCATCCCAGCTGGCTACGCTGTTTACCACCGTGTTAAACTCCACCAAGAAGAGTCCGAGCCAGCTGGACTCCAGCCTACTGGTGGCAATGGGACACATTGTGTGCGGAGCTAAAACCACAGACATGAATGTTTTCAATGCTGTTGAGTTCAGGTGAGCAGATAAAAAATACTTTTACGGGCACTTTTTAATGCCTTCTTTTTGAGTCCTGATGTTTGACACTTGGAATCACTCTGCTGCTGATGACAGTCAGTTCACTTCTCGTGCTGTGTCTCTCCCTGCTGGCTGCAGTAAGGCGGTGCTCTGGCTGGGTCGGCTGAGGCTATCTTGTTCAGAGGAGCAGCTGCAAGCTCTTGTCCAGCTGCTGACCCATAGCCTTGCTTTTGGACCCATGAGCTCATGGGGAACTGATGTCTTTATTGAGATTGGAGTTCTGGCAGGTATTGTGTATTTACTGTCTACATCATCTGGCTTTCACCAATTTCCAATATTTTTACACATACTAATACTAGGAAAATGTTCTAATTGGTCTAATTAAATTAAATTATATGTTACTGTGAAAAAAAAAGTGTAAGTTCTCAAGTGTCAACTCGACATCTGCTTAATATCTGTCTGTCTGTGCTCCTCAGTCACATGCTATGTGTGCTCACACCCTTAAATTAACCCTATATAGTTTTTATATTATATATATATTTGTTTTCTTGACACCCACTAAATGTATTCTCTTACTCTCTTATTGCTGGATCCCAGTGTTTTTGACTCAGATAAACATTTTGCACTTGTTACAGCTGGTCTCCCAGACATGGCTATGTCAGCATTGGTGAAAGAGCAAATTGAAGGAATCACACCTCTGGCTATCTCGATAATACCACCTGATAAGTTCGCTGTAAGTCAATTAAAACAACGAGACAGTTTCCCATTTTCATACGCTCTTATTCTTTGGATTTTAGAGCTATGGTGGTGTATTCATCTCTCTGTCTCTTGTGTCACCTCTTCAAGGTGGTGTTTCACCAGAGGCAGATCAGCGTGTTCTCCTATGAGCAGGCTGCAGAAGTAACCGACGAGCAGCGTTCTGCTCTGTCGGATGTTCAGATGACAGCTCTGGATATGGTGCTGACACCCTGGGAGGACAGGCCTGTAGACTTCAGAGGTAAACCACGGAAATCCTAGAAACTCCTCTTGTTCATTGATAAATGTAAAGAGGGGTCATTTTCAAAAGCTCACTCAGTTTGGTTAATCTGGTGAACATGAACTAATCTTCTGTCGAAGCTCTAACTGAAGGTGTGTCCCAATTCCATACTAATATTATACACTACAGTACGTTATATATTTGTAATTTAGTGTATGTACTCGAACTATGACTTTAGAAAGCTATTGTCAAAACAAACCTTACAAATGAAATGTTCAAAATGTTTTTCCAAATATGTAATGCTTTATTTTTTTGTTTTCTTGCCTGAGCTCATCCTGGAGCAGTCTCACCATCATCTACATTTTTTTTTTTTAATTTTTACAGCTGTAAGTAGCTCTTCTATGGCTTTTATGCACCAGCAGCATACTTGAACTATAATACAAGTTTTTGCTTGTAGAAAGATAAGACAATCCTTTTTTTTTTGAGTGCCACTAGCAGATATTATCAGATCTTACCAAAAGGGGGTTTCATTTTTCATTTTTTTAAAGTATGAATACATTTTATACACAAAACCCAGTTAAAATAGTATGTAGTGTGTAATTGGGACACATTATGGGACATAATTGGGGCGTTTTTTAAGTGCTTTAACAGTTTCACAATTACATATATCTGTTTGATAGACTGAGTTTGTGGAATCATGAGTTTTATTTTACAGCAATCCTTGAATCCTTGAGAGGTATTCTTATATGAATGTTGATGTGCTTATGTATGACAAACAGAAACACTTGAGATGAGTATTCTTCAACTCTAGAAAGTGTCATGACATACATAATGACATTTTTTACAGTGTTTTTTGCTATGATATATAAAGGCAGATAACCCACTGGTATCATATTTTGCATGGCTCTACAGTTGTATTGGTTTCACTGTGTTCCCGTAGGAAAGTCAATGGGTTTGGCCCTGAGCCACAGTCCTCTGTGTCTCATACTGGGAATGCTGATGCTGCTGATCGTCCTGCCCTGCCCTGACCTGATCTGCCCTGGCACATGACCCCACTCACCCCTGTTGGATTAGGAGACAACCTCCTCAGCCACATAACCAAGATGATCTTTTATTATGTATCTGTGCAATACCATACCTCTTTGAAATAAGCAGCACTTCAGGATTTCTATATACTGTATTCAATGAGAATGTAATTTATTTTGTGCAACTATCACTTTGATGCGTTCAACATTCAGCACTGTAAGAACCAAATGAATAGTTTAAAGATAAAAACACAGTACAGTATAAACATATATCTATCAAGTCTAACCAACACCCACAGGGTTATCCTTATTACACTTGGTTAATCTATTTATTTTTTGATAAACCTGTATGAACCCTGACTGTCCTGATATATCCTTCTCAGGGATGTGACGCCATACCTATAGCAAATCAACCCAATACAATACAGTTATGATGAGCAAATTTAAAGTGTTGCAAAGCTACAAAGTTATATATTTTTGTGAAATTATATAATATTTTTGTCAGTGTAAAAGCTGTAATGTTTGCTACATTTATATACCCATCGTGAGTTATCTTGATTAGACAACAGGTACATAATGCTCATGTAAGACCTGACTGTATTCATATTGGTCAACTTCAGTCTATTTTTGCTGTGAGTTTTGTATTGTTGTGCACACTCTCTGGTGTGAGAAATATAGTCCTAAATCATTAAAGCGAACCCATCTGACTCTGTTTATTTATTCTTTTTGATTAAGCGCAGTGAAATTGTCAAACATGTTCTCACTGATATCTGACATCTGCAGTAAAAGTCTGTGTAAGGTATAATGTTTATAAATGATAAACTATGTGGGGATACAGCTCGCAAACAAGAAAATAAAAATATAAATAGATCATCCAAGTTATTAACAAACTATGTATATATTCGTATAAACTTACATTTATTTTGACTTTTTTAAGTCAACATTATGAAAGTAATAAGATAAGATATTCCTTTATTTGTCCCACAATGGGGAAATTCTAATGTTATGGCAACAAAGTGGATAGAGAAAAAAAAAAACAGTATAAAGACCCCTATAAGTAACAAAACAGTAAGGAGTATGAAGATTAATATAATATAATATAATATACACGATATACATATAAACACTGTACAAGAGAAAAAAAACCAGTATAAATACAGTATAAAAACAGTAAGAGTATGAAGATTAATATAATATAATATAATATAATATAAACACTGTACAAGAGAAAAAAATGTAAAAAAAATAATGTATTCATGAATTATTAAATAAGTAATTATTAGTAAGTTAAATATTACAATTATGAACATTCAAAATGAGGAGCCAACAAGGAAATTTGTACTTACTGAGTCATATTTTTTATTTACCATCAAATAATTTTGGCTTAAATCTTAAAAAAAAAATAAAAAAATAACAACAACAATAATTCCCAATCTGTTAAAAATACTGAACAATAAATTAAAACCGTTGCTAACAAACTCTGTCCACCAACCAACGCCACATCATCCTCTCTACCTGTTTACTCTTTAATGCTGTCAGTGTCATGTTGCCTGAAGGAGTCGGGGGGAAGTCGGGACATTAGATAAGCTCAGAGAGAGAGACACGTCCAGAAGGTGGGAGCAGTTTCTGAACGTGGCCAACGGGCTGCAGCACTGACTTCACTGCGAGCCTGTCAAACACAACCAACACAGCCAACATGGCGGACTGGGGTGAGAAACTAAGTTGGGAGGATAGCTATCCGCACATCATCCGCTAGCCACAGCCTTTGTTTATTTGTTGTTTTTTTTTTATATATATACCAGCCTAACATCTCGTTATTGTCAAACTCAGTCGTTAGATGTGGATTGGACTAACGAATTTCATGTTGTCGTTTTTACAGACGCTGACACCTTTGAGCTGGAGGAGCCGATTAAAAAGGCGGCAGCGATGGACAAATGGGAAGGCGAAGACGAAGATGAAGAGGTTAAGGTAAATCTCGTTCGGTTTGAGCTGGGGGGGTTTAAAGTTGGTCGACGTTGAGCCAGCTGTTAGTCCGGGTTGTGTCAAGCTAAACGTCGGGTTTAAAAAGCCTCGTCGCCCCCGCTGTGGTGCCATGCTTCAACGCGGTTTCAGGCTGCCTGTCAATCCTAACCCCCAAAGCCTGCGTTAGCCTGCGTTAGCTGGCGGCTAACTCATGTGGCTACAGCAGACAGCCCGCAACTCCCAGCTCAGCTAACCTGTTAGCCGACCGTTGGGCTACTACTCGGGTTTTCAACTGCCGTAACGTACCGTCATCACAGTGACCGTTAACGTTGCCAGTCGACGGTTGAGAAATAACGGAGAATCTGGACGTTATTGATGGTTGTTTTTATCTGGGAGCTGATCGATAGCGATGTCAATTCTTGGATAGCCGGGTTTAATTTTGATAACGTAGCGGGGAGCTAACCTCTAACCGGGCCACTTTGCTAGCTCCCGTATCAGTTTGCGCCTGAAAATGCGCTTTAATGGTCGGTAACGTCGACGATGGCGTCGTTCACCGACGTGGTTTTGGAGTACTTGGCTTATGTGTGGTTAATGTAGACGGGTGAGCCCATTATCGCCCAAAGTTGGTTGCATTAAATGATTATAGGAGAGTAGCATTGGTCCCCTGTCCTGAACCCCCCCTCAAGCTTGGGTTACGTTCAACATGAGGCGGCGTTAGCTTGCTAACCAACTTTAGCCACAATCAGATGAAATCATGATCTGGGTCGATGACTCAACTCAGTCAAGAACTAGGCCTAGGACTTTCCAACCTCACAACAGGCGAATAGCAGGGAACTGGTGCTCAGTTTATACCACTATACAGGTGGTTATTGACTGAATGTTGACATGGTTGCTGTCCAGAAAACTCAGATAATTGACCATGGGAAAGTGCTAGCGGAGGCCTCTACAATTGTTCCGTTTTCTGTCACATATGGTGGCCAAACTATAGAAACTGATGATTTCATGTTCTCTTTGGTACAAACTGTGGTCTTATTCAGCAAGCAGGGTAAAATGTTTTTGGCACACCAGGGACTAACACAAATAATTACTGCCCAAAATAAATCCTTGTGTAATCCAAAAGTATTGAGATAGTGTTTTTATAGTATGGTCAAATTCAAAGTATTGACTTTTGCAGATAAGAGTGTGGGAAGGACTTTTAGTTATTTAATTAAGCTAAAGAATAAGACTTTGAATCAGACTTCATTTTAATGGCCAGGTATGTGCACACATTGCTCACAATGAATGAATAAATGAATAAATAAACAGACATACACTACTATGTACAGTTATACATGCAAACAAATATAAAAAAACAAAGTGTGGACAGTAGGTAATGATGATTAACAGTGGTTATGTGAATATTATTGGAGTGCAGTTCACCACTGATAACTTGGCAGACCTTAAATTGCATGTTTAAACGTCATATCAGGCTGGTATGGTTGAAATCATTATCTCAGTGTTACGTTTGATATTTTCCAATTACAATATAAATCACAATATGGAAGATGTACGTAAAGTCAAACATACAACCATGTTTCCTCATTAAGTATTACAAGAGACTAAATTCTTTGTCCCAAAGAAAATCTTTAAAACAATTGCTGCTTACTTATATTATTAATATATAATTTATATTAATTTAACAACAAATACTTTGAGAACAATAAAACATTTTAATCTCACTCACATTTCCTACATGAGGATCTTTTAGTATCAAGGTCTTACTGGTGTGGATGGTCTCATCGATCGTTGCATACTGCTGCCTATGGACATTTGTCTTCATTAGTGTTTGCCTGTGTAGTCTTTGTAAATAAAATGACAGCTATCCCATCTTTTCTTTTTTCCTCCCACAGGATAACTGGGATGATGAGGAAGAAGATGAGGAGAAAAAAGCAGAGATGACAAAAACAGGTATGTTCTTTTGAAACAACAAACAACACGTTGTACTGTATGTCAACCAGTGGCTGGGTTGTGTGCTCTTTCTGCGACTTCACGTGTCTTTATTATTCCATTATTTGGATTTTCAGAGACAAAGGTTTCTGAAAAGAAAAAGTTAATTGAGAAGATCAAAGAGAAAGAAAACCGGCTAAAGAAAAAACAGCAGGAGCTGAAGGAGAAAGAGTTGCAGGAAATGGAGCAGGAGAAGGAGCTCTCTCCTGAAGAACTGCTCGCAGAGAAGCTCAGAGTGAAGAAATTACAGGAAGATGCAGACTTGGAGCTAGCAAAAGATGCTTTTGGTAAGTCGGGATCAAATGTGAAAAATCACCTTGTTGCTTTCTTATTGCAAATATAAACTAGTCTTCCACGCTACTTCCCTTTTCGTGTAAATGAAACTACTGCATACCTTTTTATGAGAATATGCAATTCTATATTCAAATGTTAAGTTTAATTTTGTGCTTGGATTTGTATATTCCCTTGGTTTCTTCTACTTTCACACACAGTGTAGATGCAGCTTACTGCAACTCACTATTTTTAATTTGTAGTGTATTTCATGTGTTTTTAGCTGTGTCATGTATGTAGACTGCGTTATTTTGAGGACCTTCAAAAAAACCGATACCACTATTTTCTTAGCTTGGTTCTTTGTACGTGTGGTATTAAAACTAATCACTAAAAGACAACATGTTCTAAGTTGTGGGTTTCTTTTCTGTAATTTCTTGTTCTTTCGGTCATCTAGCAACACACTGGAGGTCCAATATAAAAGTTTTGTTTTGCTTCTGTGACTCTGTTCTTTGAAGAGACATCAAACTGCTTGTCCTTTATATTTTCTCAGGTGTCAGCAGCACTTCAAACAGTGTCACTGGGATTGATGCCATGTGTCCATCTTCCAAGGAAGACTTCACAGAGTTTGAAAAATTGCTGAAAGAAAAGATATCCCAGTTTGAAAAATCTGTGCATTATTCAAGTTTCTTGGATTCATTGTTTCGGGAACTCTGTATTTCATGTGAGCCCAGCATCTTTTTATATAATTTTCACTGAACTGTATTGATTATACTTAATATCAGTACCGTAACTTTCAATCAAGGTAGGCTTGACTGATAACTATTGTTCTTCTCCCTCTTACAGTGGAAGTAGAAGACTTGAAGAAAGTCAGTAATTCCCTCTCAGTCCTACTTAGTGAAAAACAGAAACAAGAAAAAGTAAGTGACTGCATGTCCTTATATTTTCCCCCCACTGTTGTTAATATTCAGAAGGGGGTGCTGTTTACCTAGGCCAGACACCTAATTTGTGCTCTTAGTAGAATATATACATCTTTTAAAGTGACCTTTATTTGCCTTTACAGCAAAACAAAGGAAAGAAGAAGAAGAAAGGGGTCGTGCCTGGTGGCGGTTTGAAAGCACAGCTGAGAGATGACCTTGACTATGCAGAGTTTGATGGTGGCTACGCCCAAGACTATGAAGACTTCATGTGACACTGGCTCTATCGCCACTGCCCATCCCAACCCTCAACCCTCAGAAATGCAGCTGTACCTTCTCATGCTGTCCAGTGCCATCCTGGAAAATCTGAACTATGTGTTGCCCCCTTCATTTTGCTTCAGTGACCAGAGGGACTATACCAGGGAGCATCCAGTTTCACCAACTCTTTATGTTCATACATATGGAATTGCCTTTTTCTCTGTCTCATTCAGCCTCGACTCTCTCTCACACACATATAAATCATGTAGTATCTGTTGGGTGACCCAGCTTCAATGGAGAATACATTGTAACTGCTGTTGTCTGAGTTTTGTGGGGCTAATTTTTTATTAAATGTTGCTCCTGTCAAAATGGCAGATACAGTATTGCAGTTATGAGTGTAGTGACATAGAAACAAAAGGTTCTATGCAAATTCTTTAACCAGAATGTCATGTATATAGATAGGACTCACTTACCTGTGGATGGTTCTCTTACAGGAAAGTATATAGTATCTATAACTTTGGTTGCCAAATTCCGAACAATTATTCAATACATTCATCTTTATCTCTGGAAAGGTTGCATTGTGGGCGATTTGAGACTGACGCAACATGTAAGTAGTAGTTGTAATTTTACAGAGAGCACATGACATTCACTGTAAGGTAAAAGGGATAGACAAGTATAATAAATGTGACTTTAAAACCTCACAGCCATTCTCTTGATACATCTCTGGATATCCTTGAAAATATGGAGCAAAGAGTGCTTATAGGTATTTTTTTGTGCATGACAAAAATGTAATTTACTAATTTGATTTCTACTAATGCAGAAAAAGTATGGATCAGGCAAGTGGATTAACTTGCCGCGACTGGTCTCCTAATCATTGCTTCTGCAGGCTTGTATCAAGTGTGATGAGGAGCGGGGGCTTATGGGCTTCACCCCACCATGTCTTCATATGGGCTACAGTTAGTTGAAAGGGGCATATTTCTCCTTTTCTTTTCTAGCAATTGACCAGTTTCAATGTTACATGGACAATTGGATACATACTATGTGGAAGATACAGCATCTGCAGTGTTTTATAAGCATCTAATTTAATAAATCACTGGTCAACAGTACAAGTTGTGTTTCTGTTCTTGTTTACAACATCAATAAGAGAAACTTTAATTACACAGCATCCAGCTCACAGGTTACTGATCTTTAAGAGATGTGTAATAAATACTCTATTTACAGTTTCAAGTAAATATTTACCACAGTACAGTTGAAAATGTAAAGTAAGAGGAAAAACAATACAAATATGCCTTGGGAAGAAGCTGGAAGAAAAAGGCCTAGCTTTGTTTAGTTACATATTCAATTAATTTGGAAGAATCAATATAACGTTTGTACCAAACAAATACAGCTGACTACTCCGATCTGTTGATTTAGTTTCCCTTTGAAGTTGTGCCTGCAGTGTTTAGCTTCTGGCCTTTGTGCGTCCTCCTGTAGGATTTCTGGTGCTACGTCTCCGACTGCTCCGAGGCACATTGGCCCTCTGCCGGCGTCGATTCTGTCTGCCTTCTCCTCTTACCACACTCGTCACTGTCTGACCTTGAGCATTCTGCAGGGCCTGGAAGACACTCGTCTTCGACACGTCACGGTCTCCACAGGTGAAAGTCAGCGCTATGCCCTCGTTGCTCTTCATGACACGAGATGTACCATCAGAAGTGCCATCAAAGCAGCGTCCAAGTGCAATCTCTTTGGCTGTGCGGGGATCCTGGTCTGTCACTGTATAAATTCCGTAGTTATGGCCCAGAGGATCGAGAGGTGCTAGCATGGTGAACTCATTGGTGTCGTTGTTGACTGCCAGGGGCAGGTGGTTGACCAGATACTCCTGAAGCATTGTGTTGACTTGATCTCTCTTACAACTTCCTTGTGGAATCACTTTCACCAGAGTACGATCTACACGCTCCTGATCATACAGCATCCCGCTGCACTTGAACTCCAGGCACACAGCTGAAACAGTTGCCTGGTCCATGTCACGGATGCTGCGAGTGTCTCGGAGGCCATACAGCTGGCCTACTGTCTTTGGGTGGGTGCCGCCCATGTTGCGGGACCGCACATTGAGCTCATGTGGGCTGTTGAGTTTGACTTTAATGTAGCAGGCTCGATATTCCAGGGGCTTGGGCCACCAGGTCAGGTAGTCCTGTGTCCAACTCATTGGGTCATCTTCATTGAACGGCACTGTGTTGTAATCGTAGCGGTCGCCTTCTACTCTTGAGAACCGGAAGTGTGGCGCACTGAATGGGGCCTCCTCGCATTCTTTCAACTTCTCAAATGCGTACACTGGTCCATTACCTTCCTCAGCTGTGTTGGCACTTGGTTTTGCCACATTGATGCTGAATGCCGTCTTCTTCACTCTGGGGTCCTCGTGGTCAGTCCGTCTGTAGTTCAGTTTACCCAAATAAGGCTGAGGCACTCCAATGAGGTTGGGATTGAGTTTGGGGGCAGAAGCTACAGCCTCCAGCTCCTCCCCTCCAAGGTTGGCCATGACATAGGCAGAGTAGGCATCAGCTTTTTGTTCATCGCAGAAGGCAGGAAGACAGGCCCCGTTGGGGCCAGTGACGACACTGTCAAAACGGCCCCAGGCACGTGGGTTAGTGGAGTAGCCAGCTGTGGGCTCCATGTTTATAAGACTCACCACAACTCCTTCCACCTGCTCACTGGGCATGAAGCGTTCACTGCGGAAGGCCCTGACTTTCACATAACACCTGCGGTTCTCTGGGACATCCAGGTTAAATAAACGTCTCTCTCTGATCTCCATGTTACCAATCAGAAAGGTTCTCTCCTCCCTTTTGCCTCTTCTTTTTTTCTCCACCTGCAGACTTCCTTCCTCCTCCCACAGGCCTGTATCAGGGTTAAGTGACCACAGCTTCATGGTATTCAGGTGCTCAGACATCTTCACCTGGGCAGAATCCAGGAACACCTTCACTTCACCTGCATTCAGGGGCTCATTGTTTTCCTCACCTCTAAAGTCAACTGAGAACATCCCATAGGTTCTCAGCGGCAGGGTATCTCCTTCATCTCCTACAAAGTTGAGATCACTTTGAGCTGCAGCAGCTGTGGAGACATCTCTGGGGTCGAGGAACGTTATGCTAGCATTTACGTTACCCATGAAGACTTCTCCTTTCTCTGTGTAGAAAGAATTGGGAGGAATCTGGATTTGGACCATTGCCTCCTGGCCCTCCACCTCCCCAAGCTCCAGAGTGTTGATTTCTGTAGAGCTGATCGTCACCGGAGCTTTCTTTCTCAGAAATTTGATCTCATGGTAAACAGACCCTCCTTTGGTGTTAAATGGGAGTACCTTTGTAGTGTTGACAAATTTCTGCATGTTGTCCACAAAGGTCAGGACTAGCCTCTCTGTGTCTGGAGGAACCTGGATGGAGAATGTACCTTTGTAGCCTGTGCGACTGATTCTGACTCCATTCATAAAGATATGGCCAAACCTCATTGGCTCACCATTGTCTGCAGCAATGGCCCTACCATGCACAATGGCCTTGGTGTCCACACATTTCTGGCAACCACACTCAGTCACCACCATGGTGGGCAGTTGGTAGCCCTGGCATGTTAGCTGCCTCTCCTCCATCTTTTGCACACCACAGCAGTAAGCCACTTTGTCTTTGCACCTGATACCATTGTCCAGCTTTCCAGTACATGCACTTGATGGGCACTTGCCCACATCATAGTAGAAAGAGTCGGTGCTGTTTTGGTAGCAGTCATGTGGAAGACGGATGAGGTGGGATTCAGGCTTGGGATTACACGAATGCTCATTTCTACCTGCAAGAGATGGAGAAATCAAAATGTTGGTTTAATTTGAACATTTTGCCATCTTTCTGATGTAAAATACAGTATGTAGCCCAAAGAGTCTACTCTAGTCAATGTTGAATATTGTATCAATCAATTTATTGATCACATACCAAGGACTTTGAGTGTAGCTGGTTTTGTCTTAATAGCCCCAGATGGACCACTTGCTCTGCAGTGGTACTCCCCATTCTGCTCAGGACGTAGATCTCTTAGGACCAAGGTGCTCTCGGACTGTTTCTCCAAGAGACTGTTGTTATGAAACCTTTTTGTCCACACAGAAAAAAATAAGCAGTCATTGAATATACCATATTATTATTAACATTAGATGTTATTAATAATATCACATGCATCTATCTGAAGACAATAATATTTTTGTACTATAGTTTCACTATTTCTTTAGTCCTACCATTGGTATTTGTCAGGTTGTGGTGTTCCTGCCACTTTGCAGCAGAAGGCAACAGTTTGTCCCTCCCTCCTAGACTTGCTCTCAGGGTTGCTCAACACATGAAGCTTCTCTAACAAATCACAGTGAGAGATAAAATACACATTACTCATTAGCTTTATTACATGCTTAAAAACCTGTAAGCAATATGCAGCATAAAATAAACTTGTTGGTTACAAAGGTAATATGATCTGCAATCAAATATTTTGGTGTAAATCCACAGACATCCACTGTACCTGTTCTTTTTAGCTGGACACTGAGGACAGAAGTACGCTCAGTACTGTGTGGCACAATAGCGTTGAAGGGGGCGTGACCCTGCAGGCTGATTTTCAGGGTGGTGTTGCCATCAGGACAGATACCAGGGATGCGGAAATGCCCATTGTGGTCAGTAAGGGTAAGGAGTTTGCCAGAGCGAACGATGGTAGCGCCTTCAGCAGTGAGGCCCCCGGCGCCACGAACAGAACCCAGAAGAATGTGTTCTTCACACATGCATGCGTCACACTCAGCATTTACCCTCCCCATCACGCACTGCAGGGTGCAATCTAAAGGGAAGGATCAAACAAGGTTAGCCATTTTGTGACTAATGGGTGTCCCACATCTGATGAGCTAAGTCAGGACCGGACTGAATCAAAAGAGAATTGTGTAAGAACAGTCTATCTAATTAAACCAAGGCTAGCTCACCTATTTTTGGGCATTCTGGTCCATTGCATGCTTTCCCTTCCACTTTAGGCCCACTGCAAGGCATAGAGCGAGTTTGGCAGTTTCTGGAGCGCAACTGGACCCCCACCTGACCACAGAGGGCAGGGCATAGGCTCCAGTCAGACCATGGACCCCAGGTACCCTGAATGTTCACACTGTTATCTGTTGAAACAAGAGAGTGCAGGTCACAGTCAGATTATCACCTGAAAATATGAATCATCAAAGAGGTTTCTTATTTGCATGCACATCACCAGCAAAGTCAGAAGCTGGGCTTTCGAGGTACAAGACTAAGTGTATCGTTTTGCTTTTACAATGAGACCAACTTTTGGGGACAGAATAAATATTAAAGGAGTTTCGAGATCACACCTTTGGGACAGAGGAAGCGCACTGCGTAGTTGGAGCAGTTGCGATCAGGACCCTGCTCATCATTGAGGCACCAGAAGCCCACAGTAGGGTCTGCATGGACCTTCTCCCCAGTTTCACGAGCTGGGACCCATTCAGTGGTTCTGGCTTCGATTGCCCGGGGAATCTCACACACTCGGGCCCGGTAGTAGAAGCGAATAGCTTCCAGCTGCTCATAGTCTCCACGGCCTCCAGGGTGATCAACATTGAACCATGTGGTCCACTCATAGTTTTCTGGACACAGTACAGACACAAACATGGCTCAAACTAAATGCGTTCAAAGTATTGTGTCTATTACATGTTAGCAACTTGACTCAATCCACCAGGGAAAAAAGGATTTATACAGTTATGGACTACATATTTGGTTTAAATTTACGAATAAAAGTTACCATCAGAGTGGTACAAATCAGGGCTCGACTGTTTGTTGTCTCTTCTCCATGATCCTGCAAGAGACAAATTGAAACATGGCAAATTTCTGGGCTGTATCTTACACGACTTAAGTTAGTGAGTTGAATTTAATTCAAAGACAAAATTAAATCATTTAAGAGAGATGTTCAACATTACATTTGACATTCAATTTTCCTTTGAGTATACAGTGGTAATGTTGAGTGCAGGGCTGTCTGTTTTATCAGCCTGCCTCTTTCATTATCCACTTTTCTCCACTTTGAGGTGTACACATTTGTAAGTGTCCCCATCTGATTTAAAATGTTTGTTCATTGTAAGAAGGGTGCAGTG